CGTATCGTTTTTGAATTTGACTGACCAAAACACAAAAGTTATAAAATTCAAATTAGATGAACAATAACAACTCGTGTCCAACACATAATAATTTATATAAAATAACACCGAACTTTCTTTTTTCATTTCTCGATGCGTTAAAGACTGTTCGTAAATATAAAAACCTTGACGAGGTCATTTTCTCATCCATGTTCATTCTTTTCCATTTTTCTTCTGGTTCCATATTCATTTCTGAATGTAGGACTAGTATTATAACAATCTCAATTGTGCTTCACGTGTTAGTTCTTCTGCTTTCTTATTATTCCATTCACATATATTACCTAACCAACTTTTCCTTCTCCTTCCTGGGCTTTTCTTTCCATAGATTTTTCCTTCTAAAATATTTCTCAAAATTTCATATTTACTTCCTCGGATGATGTGGCCAAAATACCCCGTCTTTCTTCTTTTAACTGTATTTAGAACTTCTTTTTCTTTCCCCATTCTTTCCAAAACTTCTCATTTGTTATTCTATCTATCCAAGATATTTTTAAAATTCTTCTATATAACCACATTTCGAATGCTTCAAGTTTGTTTAACGTATTTTTATCTAAGGTCCACGTTTCTACTCCATAAAACAAAACTGACATCACATAGCACCTTAACATTCTAATTTTAAGATGTAAATTAAANGTTTCTTTACAATGTTATTCGTAAATGCTTAAATAATCGTTATTAATGTGCAAAATAAAAAAAAAGTGAACACAGTCTTTGAGTTTCCGTGGTCACTTCGCATTACATTAAAAATATTAAATAATTAAATAATTTTTGGATTAAAATCGTCCGTTTCTTTACAATGTTATTCGTAAATGCTTAAATAATCGTTATTTTCATAAAATAGGTCATAAATTTAATCCAAAACAGAAAAAGAAATAAGTTTAAGCCGATCGTATAGTCGCCATTCCAAACCAAGCGAACGCCATTATCGACCGCCTAGAATTGTCAGATGGCGGCGCTGCTTCGTCCGCCGTACACGTTTTGGGCTGAATACGTGCGCCTCAACCTCTATTAATTAAATCGAGTCCAGCAGCCATATTTTGGGTGGCGCGTTAAATATATTAAAAATAAAACTTTGAAAAATAATAAAATTTCTACGTAAAAAGTGAGGTATGAGATCGCGTAACGCCCGTCTCTCCATCTTGCGTAACCAAAGGAATCGGTGTTGAAATAAAAGCTTAAATTCCAGTAGAAGTAATAACATACATTTGCTCAAGTTTACGACAATAAACTTGAAGGAGAGCGAAGATGAAACAAGACACCTTGTAATTTAGGTTATTATTATATGTTACTACTTTCGGTCCGATAGAAAGAAGGAAATGTTGCGGAAGGGACCGCAAAAGTCCGTTTTTTATATCGGACCAGCGGTACAGTGACAATCGAATAGGAAAATTACATAATTTGAGGTTACGAGTGAGCACTAAATATGATTTAAGTTGTTTTCGAGAATGTCGAGTTTAAATATTTAATATGTTTTTTCCGAAATTTAATTCGTTGACAGATCACCATTTTATATTCGGCTGTGAATGGTACTATTTCTTATAGTTAACATTAGAAAATATGACATCTGAAAAATTTAAGATATATTTTCAGTTTTTGTCTACTTGATCTTTAAATTTTTTCCATTTCCTACCATCCGAGTATTTCCATAAACGGCAATACTTGGATGGCCGAAATAACCAAACTCTTTATATGGTTTTCGTTACCGTGTTCGTTATAATATACTGCAGCGGTGATCAACCTTTTTGGAAGCAAGGGCGCAATTAAAAATTTTCACGAACGTTGCGGGCGCAACAATATGTAATGACATCGTATACGTTTAGTGTTAAAGTTATTTCTAATTCTTAATTATACCTTTTTAAGATTATTTTTAATTTAATTTTTGTCATTTTTAATTTTGATTCTTTTAAATTTTATTTTATAGGTTAAAATAATAATAAAAATTTGTAATAACAATTTTACTGAACGGCATTTATTACATGAAAAATTATTATTCGTTAATGAGAAAGTTGAGACTGTATTTATTGACGTAATTTTTCAAAATCAGGAGAGTAATTTGATACCGCGACTCTAAAACTGTCATTCGAATTGTCATTCGTAAGACGTGATCTAAACTTATTTTTGATAAATTGCATTGAAGAAAGTGTGGCTTCACTTAAGTAAGTCGATCTAAAAAGTGATTTTATAGAACTTACCATATCTACTAAATTTTTATATTTACCTTGTAGTCCAATATTTACCTGATTTAATTTCTGACAAATATCAGCTTTAAATTCCAAGTCACCTAGCCAATTAGGATATTCGAGTTCGTTATAAATTTCCCCTTTTTGCTCAAGAAATTCTTTTATTTCAGTAATTAAATTAAAAAACCCGTCTAATACTTTGCCTTTTCTAAGCCATCTCACTTTTCTGCAAGTTATTTTTGTAATGAGGCCCGAAACGTAACTAAATGAAAAAAACTTTAGTACGCAGAACTTGCAGATGTATTATGCAATGGTTAGCAAACGAATTCAGAAGTTATTCATCTTTTCTACATAAAGTTATAAATCCTCTATTTTTGCCGATCATCGCTGGACCTCCGTCAGTTATAATTGAAGATAATTTATATAAAGGAAGTTGTTAATGTAAAACATAATATTTTAAAAACTTGATAAATATCTTCACCTCTCGTTCTTTCCTTCATTGGCAAAAGGCACAGTATTTCTTCCTTCACAGAGTAGTCATCGAAAACCATTCTTGTTATTACTATTCAATGAGATGTCCCCGTTAGATCCAAAGATTCGCCCATTTGAAGTAAATATTAAGAACACCTATTCGTATCAGCTTCGTGTCGATCTTTAATATAGGTAGATATTGCCGCAGTCCTTCTTTTTTATTGTATTGAGTGACAACTATAAATCGTTTATTGCCCTAATTGTTTCTGGCTTATTAGAAAAAGTATCAAAGAGAGAATCGGCACCAATAAGTAAAGCTTGTTTAAATAATTTCCCATTTGAATATAATCTCTTGTTCTTTGCAAAAAAATGTGCTATTTTAAACAATGCCATAGTTATATTTTTTGATTTATCTGTTACCTTTTTGAACAATAATTGTTGGTTCAACAATCTCTTCTCTAAACTATTTATTTTTTCAGTTCGAATAGCACTATGAGGCATACATTTTTTATCGAAGTTCTCGTGTTTTAATTTAAAATATCTTTCAGTATTGTTTTTTTAGTAGTTACGATGCGATTGCACAGAAAACATACACTATGTCCTTTTACTTCCACAAAGAACTTAGTTCTCTGTTACCAAATACTAAATGTAAAATTTATAAATAATTTTTCTTGGTGTCATGTTTTAAAATATCAAAAATTAAACCGAAAATATATTATTGAAAATTCGCTGAATTTACTACTTCACTTCCTTCTAGATATTTGTAAACTCTTAACAATATGAGAGATAAAATAAAAAAACCTTGGAAAAAAATTAATACATCAAACTGAAAAGAATATGTTAAACGAATTTACTGTATGTTTTTAAATAGCCACATTGTATATAAAATTTAAATTATTTTCATACAGAAAACAATGATAACTGTTTTTCTACGAAAGACTTTTATTTAATGATTCTTCGTACTGACAGAACGAAAAATTAATTCAATTATCGTCATTATTTTATTTGTCCTTTTAAAATAATTAAGAACAAATACACTGAAAAACTTTTTCAAAGAAGCCAACCTTTTGTTTTTATTCTTACGATAGAATCGCCATTACAATTGAAATTTCGTCTCAGCTTTTTTATATTAATTTCAAGTACCTTTATGTACCAGTAATGGTAACAAAATTGCCCCTTCAATACGATAAAAAAAATATTTTACATTCCTCATGCAATAAAATCTGTCATGACTTGTAGTTCTAATTTGTGAATTATGCTTCCATTGTTACTTTTCAATCTCGAAATGGTCTTGATACTATTCTCACAACATAATTGTATTTTAAAATATCTACAGATGTAAACAATTTACATTGACATTTCATTTGGAAATTTACATGTATACGGATTACATTTGTTAATATTTTATATCTTATACTATAAAACCACCATGGGCAAATGCGGCTCCGAGAGCAGCATGCAACTGTTTTTGAGTTACATGCGGCTCTTGCTTAAAGTGTTGATTTCTGCTTTTTATTATTATTTTTTACAATTTTATTTCCACAATTTTGCAAAAATATGTTTCTTAAGAAATCCAATATTTGTTTTATATAATATTTATATTATATAATAAAATCGCGGTACAGAATTGCAGTACAAAATTAAAAAGTACAGAACTGCAGCTCCCATGCATTTTGCAAAACCAACATTACAGATTCCACTGACTTCTTGCTTGCCCACTCCTGCTATACAAAGGTCTACGGATAGGATGAGTGATACTTAGCTTCGATGGAGAATTACATACTTTATCGTACAGTACATACATATATATTTTCACGTTTATAATCCAAAAAGAATGATCAACAGGAAAAAGTAGACTACAGTCCTATGAAGAACTCATTCATCAGCTTTGTCCACACCTTCCTGTGCAGGCACAGTTTTCTTTCGGACACACTGGTGCCTTTTCATTCACACTTCTTCACATTCTTTTTTGACTCAACATATTCCGTTCTTTCAGATACTTAACTATTTGTTCAAACCAAGTCTTTCTCGGCTTTCCCCAACCACGCTTTCCATCCACCTTTTTCAATTATGCATTATTACGATTAAAATACGTAAGAAAATCATATAAGTATACGAAAGCAGCAATAAATATCAATCAGCAATCAGATCTTCACGCCGCTAGCAAGACAAGTGATATTATCATAATAAATCATATACTAAATATATTTAAAGTTATTTAATTAACAGAGTCTTATATTATCAACATATATAATATTAATATAATTTGCAAAGTTTATCACACAACAAAAATTTTTGAATTCTTGTCTCTCTTCATTTCTGTAATGTTTTGATTGAGAATTACTGTTTCTTGCGATGTTCTATTTCTTAGCACGTTAGACAGAAGGCTGCTCAATGGGGATTCGAAGAATACAAAGAAGAACAGAGCAGCAATCAGTGACAAAAACATAACAAAGGAATATAGCATCCACTGTAAAAAAATAAATGTAATCAATTATGAATAACTTTTCAAAAGTGATATCACAAGACCATAAAAAAATAGCATTTTAATTGAGCAACAAAAATGTTTGATTTGTTGCTTAATTAAAAAAGACTTGGCATCAATTCTAAAAAATATTGGCGATATTGTAAATTTTATTGCTAAATTAGAGTCACCCAACATAAGCATCTGGCTCATCTGCCTGGTTGTAGCAGTGTGCTTATTACCCTGGTCATACCTCGAAGCCATATCTTTGGGAAGTGAATTTGGGAAGGTAAGGATGTGCGGCATTCGCGTAAGTTATGATGGGAGGTATTGAGTTAAGATTTAAATGGCACCTAAACGACTTATAAAGTTTAGTGTTATGAACGATCTCAAGTGTGACCTGGCAAAAAGTTCGTTATTAGCCTCGCTCCAGCACAGGAGGTCTCAGAGTCAATCGTTTATCTCCTTCCAGTACATCCTCGAGTATGGATTCCAACTTAACCTTCTCTAAATCTAAAAGTAAGGTGAGAGATGGAGGAGGTGAAAAGGTAATGTTGGATGACCTTCTTTGGAATCGACTTCTGGAAGAGGATATGTTACTATTTAATATTCAGGGTGTTATATCCGGTAGTGTTAAATAAGGTAGACAAGATGCATCAAATGATGCTATATATAAGTAAATTTTGCTGTGAACAAATTAGCAGAAAAACATTAGAGCTTATCAAAGTTTAATGAGACCCCATTTTTTGTTAGATTAAAAATCTTTGCGTTGCACAGGTTAAATGTGTGGGTAACATTAGATAATAGCTGGAGAGTGAGTAAAAAAAGTACTATCTTATCTGAAGTGGCTACAGTCAATCTTCCCACAGGCGATGAAGTACAATATGTAATAAGTGTAATATGAATATGGGTAAGAAAAACTAGGCTGTTCTGTTGGTCAAAGGAAAGACTGACATGGGCAGCCATTTTAAAAAGAATCTCTTAAAACAAAAATATAGATCCTAGAAAAATTAAAGTAAGAATAGGTAGCATATATAAGATGAAGAAATCAGGGATTATTGTGACCCTAGCTTCTAAATGTGACGTTGATAAGATCTTAATTGATATAATTATAAGGGTTTTATATTATATAGGTTTCATATATAGTTTAACTGTACATAGTTATTAAGATAAGTTTTATGAAGTTTTATGATTTTTTCTCTTGCTCAGGAAAGGCACACTAAGAACAGCAGTGGCGTCCATAAACGTCATGCTGTAATATTAAGTTATTATATAAAGCACACCATGCTCAGTATCTGGAGTAATGTATAATACATCTGCTATGTGAAAAGCACTAATCTATAGGTTGACCTTTATCCGTGGGACTTGTTTGTACGCTCCTGCAGGTACAGCAACGGTTCAGTGGTGTGCCGTGACATTTGATGTTAGAAAAGCTGTGTTTCTGTAAGAAGCCGATTAGCCGTACTATCTTGTTATCACTTTCAATATTTATTTTATATTATTTACTAATGTTAATAGATTGTCCGTAATTTGTTTTTTTAACTAATTCGTTTTACCACCAGGTGGTGACCACGGAAATTTCCAAAATTTACAACTTTTCGATCAGTCTCATCGAACTGGAAAAATTTCTGTCTATTACATCTAATATTACAAAGGAATCAGTTCCCACTGTACTCAGCTAGGTATTGGTTCAGTTAAGCTTTGAAGTAAAAATTCCTGCTCTTTCAGCAGGGTTTTACTTATTAAAAACCATTTATAATTTAAAGGCCATAAAAATTATATATATATTAATAATGTCTCCAAACTTCAGCGAATTTTTCGCAGAAAAATAACTTATCTGGAAACACGCGCCCGGCGTTCGATACGCAGCTACGCGAAGAAAACAATCTTAAGCAATGGCGTCGTCAAACGGTGCACACTCCGTAAGTAATCCTGCAATTTTTTGTTTATAGCATAGTTTATACGGATTATTCTCAAAACATTATTTGTGTTTTGGAAATGTTGAGTCAAATTATTCTAGAATCGATTAATTTTATGGAAGAAAACCTTTCAAACAGCCGTAGTCACTAAACTGCACACTTGCCGGGCTGTGATTGGCTCATGTATTTAAGTGACTCGTAAAACACAGAATTCATATAATACGGATCGTATCTACCGTGTTATAGGATTTCTAATATATAACAAATATTTTAATGGAGTTTTTAAAGACTCTTGTCAACTATACACAATTGGCATAAAAACATACCAGTAAACTCCTATCGGTTGGGATAAGTTATAAATCTACTCGCGATTAATATAATGGCGCGAGGACGGCCAAATATCTAGCAGGCAAGCGGCTAACAGCCCGGAACCGGTCCTGAATAGAATCATTGAAAGCGTTATGGTGTGTGGCTTCCACTAGCTAAACCGTCCGAGGTTGGTGCTCCGTAAAGCGCACGCGCAAATACCTTTAATCTAGCTGATTTACACCTTTCAAATATTTTCGCGCTGGAAGCTGTTTCATATTCTGCAATACAGAGCTTCCGTTGAGAATATGCATATACGAAGTTGTATTCGAATATGCAATAGCAATCTTATTATTTTTCTCACATACAGTATAAAAATTTGTGATAAGATATATAATGCGGTTATAATAAAATATTAATTTTAACCCTCCGTAAGTCGCTAGGAATGGGGCCCTTACTTGAGTCGCATGGGTCTCACAGACCCAGTGTTTTTAATATGAAATAATTCAATTTTATCTTTTGCGTAAAGAAAGTACAGTTTCTTAGTTGGATTCTGCGCTTTGTTTTCTATCTAGTAATATAAATTACTTGCGTATTGACAAAATGAATTTATTAATATTTATTTTTATGTAATTCGATACGAAAAACGCAAAAAAATAAACATATCAAATTTCAACTCGCTGTAATTTATCTCCTGTTTCACCGATTGCCATCGGGTTTGTTTGTAAGTGGGGAAGAAATATGACACTTTCAAGCGAAGTGAGTAGAACTTTTGCACTACTGCGAGAAAATTNTAAAATATGAAAATAATCGCAAAATATGTATTTATTTTTTAGAAGATACAAGGGAAGTGAGGCTTCCATCGCTTTCAATGTTGGCGCACCACTGCAACGTTTGGTAGTGAGACCACCGGTGACAACTACAGCTGACTATTCACTTGGAGCTGTAGTTCAGCTCCAAATGGAATCGGTGCAATTAAGCACATCGTGCAGTGTTTATAGTAATTTTTTTTAATTTAAACAGCAATGAAAAGAAAAATGACCATTTCTACAAACTAATGTTGCAGCCGAAAGTGAACTTCTCATCACCACCGAAAGACTCGTAAAAAGATATTAAAAGCCCTTTCAAACACGTGCGCAGCAGATTTTCCATCGTTTGTGATTTCTCGTAAGGGTGGCCGCAAGGATTGCGAATGCTGAAGTTTTTGTTGGCGAACAGCGTCACACTAATTTGGAGAAATTACCTGTAGTCTGTCGCAAAAATAATTTCAAAAGTTTTGTAATAAAATATAAGAAGATTCTTTTATCTGTTTTTTTCCTTAGTTATTTTAATAATTATGCAATATGACGAAAATTCTATGAATAAATATGGATAAAACGAATAATTGCTGCTTTCAGTATTAGCGTGTATTGATTTGTCAATTTTTAACTTTTATGTACTGTACATATTCTTTACCCTTATGCAAATTTTTATGCCTATATGTCCTAGCCTTAAGAATGAGTAAAATTACGACGAAAATGAAAGTGCATAGGTAAATTTGCGAATTATTAAAAATCAGATTACTAATTCTATTCCGTAACATAATGATTTCCAACTTTACCATATTAAACTGAAAAACAACTGCAGCCTTTCTCATAGTGCCACCAACGTAAAAGATGATTGAAAAGTGAAGCAGATATATCCAAACGTACAGACTGTTTAACACCACAAAAATACGAAGAGATAACAAACGATTGAGGGTTCCTGAAAATAAATAAACAACGGTAAAGTAATTATTTAATATTATTCCAGTGACAAGTAAATAAAAAGTTGTAAATAAATAGTCAGATTATTTTGGTTAAAACAGTTTCAACTATTTCGAAAATTAAACTGAACTAAGTACAACTTCCAGGCTATTAATTTAATTAACTACTAATATCCGTTAAAACTGTATCGGTAAAGTAAGTGAACTTGTTCAGGTAATATAATATAGATTGCCTATAATATAAATATAGTTTTCAATATAAAAGTAATAATTATCTAAATAACTCTAATTAATTCACTTACCGTATTTATTTACTTAAATATAGTATATAGGCTATGTATCATTTAGGAAATTGTATTTTACATCAGCTAAAGCGTTAAACTAAATTCACAAGCGCAATTCAAAATATATATGTTAATATAAATTGTTAATATTATAATTTACAGTAGATTAAACAGAAAATAGAAAAAGTACCGTATCTGTATTTATTCATATCTATATTTAGATAAAAAAATCGACCGTAAACACTAGTGTGAGATTCTAGAGACCCCCCGAAATTAATTGAAAATCGATGTCAAATACATAAATTTTTAGAAGTAATATTTGTACATCCTTTCTGGTTTCCCTTACCTTTACAAATTTTGAGTCACATACAGTCCAGTTAACCCTCTGTAAACCCCCTCTCATACTAAACACGTGGGAATAATACAATTTTCTCATTGGAGGAAATCATCAAAAAAAAAGATTCTTTAGTATCATTCGGGTAGTACGCCACAAGATTTTATAGGAGAAAGACGTATTCCATATAAGCTCCCTAAGGCCAACCCCCATATTCGACTCCCATAGTTCATACGAAGTTTGTTAAAAACTTCCTTCTAAGTTATAGAAAAGGTCGATTGAAGTACCGCCAAAGAGTAGACTAAAGATAAGAACTTTCGTATTAATCAGAAATAAAAAAATGAAAGAATATACTTTGAGTTAGTATGATTTTAGCTGAAATTGTAATCTCTCCCTCTGCCATAAATAGATATATTTGA